CCCGAATTCCCTCATCCAGACCTGACGATGATATCCATTTTTCTTTTCTTTTTATTACATAGTAGGTTTCACTTCCCCCTCTTCCGCTACATAAAGTTCTGCTCCTCCTCCGCCTGGCAGCTGGAGCCCGAGTGGGGTTTGCTGGACGGGTTCGTGGTGGACCAACAGCAGTACATCATGCACCACGACGGCCTCCGCTCCTCGCACCCCGTGAGCGACGCCATCCCCAGCCCGGCCTTCATCTATGACGTGTTTGACGAAATCCCGTACAATAAAGGTGAGCTTTGCGGGGAAGAGAAAACGTGGTGGTCTGTTTTTTCTCTGTTTCTGTCTTTGTCTTTAGCTCTGTCTTTGGCTCTCTTTCTCTAACTCTCTCTCTCTCTCTTCTCTCTCTCTCTCTCTCTCTCTCTCTCTCTCTCTCTCTCTCTCTATATATATATATATATATATATATATATATATATATATATATATATATATCCATCAATCTATCTACCAATCTGTAGAAAGGGAATATATATATATATATATATATATATATATATATTATATATATATATATATATATATATATATATATATATATATATATATATATATATATATATGTGTGTGTGTGTGTGTGTGTGTGTGTGTGTGTGTGTGTGTGTGTGTGTGTGTGTGTGTGTGTGTGTGTGTGTGTGTGTGTGTGTGTGTGTGTGTGTGTGTGTGTTAAAAACAGCTTTTCCTGACTTGATTCCACCATTATTCAACTAAGCGTTCAGTAACTCAAAGCCCCCTCCCACAAACTCATCGACGATAGGATGTCACAAAAATAAATCCCAAGAAATGAATTGCACCGATGAACACGAGAGCCTGACCCGAAACGCCTCCCTTTCCAGGCGCGTCGATCATCCGCATGATGCAACATTTCCTGACCGAGGAGACGTTCCAGAAGGGCCTCACCAGCTATCTTTCTTCGCTGTGAGTGATGTCTCCGAAATCCGCTTTTTGGTGCTGCAGGGGACGACGTGTGGCTGGGGATATGTATGGATATATAGGATGTATTATATATAGGTGTCCGTTGTAATACTAGCATCAATTGAGTAAATGTATGTTGAGTCTACTACTACTACTACTCTTGTCTCTCACAGGACAGTTTCATGTACTCTTGCACAAACAGACATACAGATAGACAGACAGACAGGCAGACAGAGAGGCAAAGATAGAGAGAAACTGAGACAAAAACAGACAGATAGAGAGACAGTGAGAGAAACGAAGAGACAAAGACCGAAACAGATACACAGAAAGAGAAATGCCAAGTACCCTTTCCCCGCCGCAGGAGGTACGCCAACGCAAACCAAGACGACCTTTGGCACTTCATGACGGAGGCGTACCTCGAGGACAACTCCCTCCCGTCGGACGTGACAGTGAAAACCATAATGGATACTTGGACGCTGCAGGAGGGCTACCCGGTGGTCACTGTCACCGCTGACCACAAAGGCAGTGCGAAGCTAACTCAGGTGAGCTAATGGGTACAGGTGGGTCTGTGCTTTGTAGACATGAAATATGGATAGATGCAGAGGTGCCATTTGGTCTATCTCATGATAACAGACGTTTCCTGTTTAAATATGCGTTATTTCGGTTCCTCAAAACCATACAGTGATGCCCCAGTGATCTCCAGTGATAACGAGGCTAGTACTATGACAAATTTTCTTCCTACCATTGCAGGGTTTCAATCCAGTCATCCAAGCATAAAATCTTCAATGCATAATTTCACACAACCGCAATGTTTTCACAGAAACGGTTCCTGACCTTAGGCGACGAAAAGGAGGAGGACCTCTCGTACAAGTGGTGGATCCCAATCACCTTCACCAGTCAGAAGCGGCCGTTCTTCCGCCACACACGAGCTCAAACCTGGCTCAGCAGTCAGGCCGACCATGTCATAGTCACGGGCCTTCCGCCGCCACAGTTATGGCACATTTTCAACCTTCAGATGACCGGTACGTTAAGCGTTTTCCATGATGGTGAACGTGAAAGGTCAGATATTGGGTAATGGATTAATGAAGCAGTCTATTGATTGATGCACACATAGATAGGTAGGTAGATAGATAGATAGACAAAAAGATCAATAAACAGTCCTCGTTAAGCTCACCGTAGTAAAAAGACCCGACCCAACAGGGTACTACCGCGTGAACTACAACGACTACAACTGGAACTTGTTGGCCCTCCAGCTGCAAGAGGACCACGAAGTCATCCACGTCACCAACAGAGCACAGATCATCGACGACGCCCTCACCCTCGCCAGAGCAGGTGGGTCTCCCAGGTCAGTGGTCTTGAGTGAATGGTGATTGCCTGAAGTCAAGGGGGTTTGCTCTTTCAATAGGATTTGCAGTCGTGTTCCATTCGATTGCATGTGGGAGAGTTAGTAATAAGCAAGAGAGTTCACTTGAACGCATATTTACGGTAACTGTATATATATATCGCCTGTACATAGTCTGGTATATGAACGTGCCTAGTA